TCTATTTGTGTAACTGGTTGACTGTAAATGATCTCATCAAGGAAATATAGGAATGTGTCTATATTTTTGTAACAAACTAATAAAGAAATAGTGGTAATCTTTTTGAAACGGAGGGAGTACTTTTTTTCTTTTTACTTTTGAGATACAAAATTATTAATAATATGTATATAATTTAAAAACACTCTACACCTATGAAGTGAAACGAATAAATATATACAAAGCAAAATTTGACAGCTCTAATTAGTTTTGATTATGATCGCGCTTGAAAACTTGAGAAATAATGATAATGAATGTACAATTTAATTTATTCAATATCCTTGCCTTTATTTTTTAGAGAATAAATAGCTTAATAGGAGCAGGAAAAAAATACAAAGTACAAGTTTATTATGAAAAAGGGAGAAAAATAATTAATGTCATACCGTAAATTAATCAACATTCATTAGCAATCCTTGAGTAAATAGTAATCTTTCATTTGTTTACCTTATATTATTTATTTTATGAAAGAAAAATCAATCATAGAAAACATATTTAAAAAGGGAATTTTTACCTTCCTATGCCACATAGGAAACTTTATTACCCTCAATGTTTAAGGTTTGATTGTTACACTTACTATACCAAATTACCAATCTTATACCATACATAATTAAGGGTCTAATTAATGGGCAGTTTTTACTCCTTAATTAAAGGTGTCCATATATCTCACGTTTCTCTATCCCCCTAATTCCTAAGACCTACGCAGTTTTTCCCCTCCCCTTTCTTCCTCTTCTCCATTCCTTCTTCTCAAAATATAGAGATGGAAATTGCAATTTTGTTACGTACAAAATAGTAGGGCCCACGCTTTCCTATTTCTTTTCGGATTCAAATCATATTCTTATGGTTTTACGACATAGAGCTACTGTCTTCACCAAATATTGAAGATAAATCTTCAAAGTTCATACACACATTTACCTTCAGCTTCAAATTTTCTCAATGAAGAAGAACAAACCTTCAAAGAGATAAAAGAGCAACAATTCCACCATTGACAGCCATTAAAAAGCTTTGAATCTTTGAATTCAAATTTGGGTTTTCAAAAATCATTATTTGTTTTGATTGGTGTTGTTGTAAATAATTAGGAATATGTTTTGGAGTTTATATCTCAATTTTGAGGTGTAGAAGACATATTGCAGAAGAAGAAGAAGAAGAATAAGAAGAAGAAGAAGAAGAAGAAGACATATTGCAGAAGAAGAAGAAGAAGAAGACATATTGCAGAAATTGTAGATAAATTGTAGTTACAGTTGGATTGATCAGAATTTGAACTAAATACATCTTCGCACATGTTGACTACAAAATTTTTCTCTTCATCTACAAATATTCTACAAATATACTACAAATCAATTTTAAGTATGTATAAAGCAGTATTATTTGTAAGGGTATCTACATAATTACTACATTTATACTACAATTAAACTACAATCTATGTTGAAAATCTACAAATCTACAAAATATCTACAAACTGGGTACATTGAATTTTAATATCCCAATTCCCATTCAATTGTAGCATAATTGGGATTTTTGACATAATTGCATTTTTTCAGAAGATTTGTAGAAGTTTTAGTCGTTTTTGATGTGTGAAAACAAAAAACAAAGCACCTACAATTAGAATACAAATAATCTACAATTTATCTACAAAATATCTACAAACTGGGTACATTAAATTTTTATATCCCAATTCCCATCCAATTGTAGCATAATTGTGGTTTTTGACATAATTGCGTTTTTCAGCAGATTTGTAGAAGTTTTAGCAGTTTTTTATTTATGAAAACAGAAAATAAAGCATCTACAATCAGAATACAAATAATCTACAATTTAACTACAATTTATCTACAATTTTTGCAATATGTCTTCTTTTTCTTCTTCTTCGAGTTTCAATCTGAAATTCAGTCAAAACCAAGTCTAATCTTCACCAAAACCCCTCAAAATTGAGAGATACACTCCAAACCATATTCCCGATTATTTTCAACAACACCCAATCCAAACAAATAATAATTTTTGAAAACTCAAATTTGAATTCAAAGCTTTTAAGCTTTTTAATGGCTATCAATGGTGGAAAATATATGGAAGAATAGATGAAGATGAAGATGAAGAAGAGAAATCTCCTTTCCGTTCAAAACTTGAATTTAATGTAGACTCAATCAATCGCAAGATTTTTTCCTGATTTTTAGCGCGTTAATTATGGAAGATTTTGCCCAATTGATCGTGTATTAAACAAATGGTACCGAAATTGTAGGAAAATTGTGGATTGGGTGGGTAATTTACATAGTATGCACATATTTGGTAATAAGGTTTCATATATGGTATAGTTAGGAAAAAATCCCTTTAAAAAAATGGAGCCCCAAAGAATTGGGGGCCTAAAGCCATGCCTTAGCTGCTTGGCCCTTCAGCCGGCCTTGCGCATGACTTGGATTAATTGACCAGGCTTACTGTTTCTGTCTCCTTTTTTTCTTGTAAAAATTGCACGGGGCGCCCTATTTGGTCGCCCCCATTTAACCTATACCCATTTTTTAAAAAAATTTTAACTTGTACCCACTATTTAAATAACTCCAGCCCTCTTTCTCCTCCTCCTTCTCCTCCTCAAAGTTATATCCGCCTCTTCTTTCTCAAACTTCTCCTTTTCCCTTTTCTGCAAGAAATTTGTTACGGCTATGTATATAACCTGTGAATGCAAGTTCCTTGGTGATTGTTTGAGATTGTACAGTGTGGTGGAGCTACTGAATCTTTTGAATATGTCATCTTAGGAATCATTATTTCTTGGTAGTCTAAGTCTTTGTTGTTTTCATTTCAAAGTGGAATGCTTTTTCTGTGTTGCTTCTCTTTTACTGCATTACGCGCCATTACCCTTAATCGTTGTCATTCTCTTATTTTAAAGTTTTAACTGAACCTATAAGCCAGACTTCGATTCCAACATATCATAAAGATAAATCCTCATAAGGATTTCCTAATTGTTTTGTATTTTCGAATATCAGCTGCTTAGCAATAAAAATGGCTGAGCAAAGCTGAGCGTGAGTTAGACGAAATGAGGTTGCTGCATTTAAAGCGGACGATAACATAAAAAGCTTATTTTTCCAGAAAAAACTTCAGCTCTAGAGCTGAAGTTTGAGTTGAAGTTTTTTCTGGAAAAATAAGCTTTTTATGTTATCGTCCGCTTTAAATTCTAGAGCTGAAGTTCGCCAGTTACAAACAAAAACTTTAGCTCTAGAGCTGAAGTTCGACAGTTACAAAACAAAAACTTAAGCCGAAGCTTACGAACAAAATCTTCGACAGTTAAAAAAAACAAAAACTTCAGCTCTAGAGCTGAAGCTTACAACACAAAAACTTCAGTGAAAGGGGGTTCCCGTCTTTCTGTTCTATCCAGGTAACACGCACACACTCTCAAATTCCACACTAATATATAAATTTTACGTTGTGTATTTGTATGGATAAAGTGAACTACTGTTGATGTTCATTTTATTAGGAATTGCTACTTGTTACTCGAAATTTACATATCTAGTTTTTGTATATATCGTGAAATTGCTTTTTTAATTCCTCCCGCTACCTGCTGCATTGTGTATATGTGTAAATAAACTGAACTACTGTTAATGTTCATTTTATTAGGTGTTGCTACTTGTTATTCGGAATTTACATTTCTAGATTACGTATATTGTGGATCGTGAAGTTGCTATTTAGTTCCACCGGCTACCAGCTCTAGAGCTGAAGCTTACAAACAAAGTTGAAGTTCGATAGTTAAAAAACAAAAACTTCAGCTCTAGAGCCGAAGCTTACAAATAAAAACTTCAGCTCTAGAGCTGAAGTTCGACAGTTACAAAACAAAAACTTCTGCTCTAGAGCTGAACTTTAGGCCCGGCTACTAGAATGCTGAAGTTTTGCGCAATTGTCTTTGCTACTTCAGCCCCGTATGCTGAAGTTATGCGAAAAAACGGGTACGTTTGCAATTTTTTTTGCAAAGCGAACACAAGTTAAAACGTGACACAAAAAGCGGATATAGATGCAAATGCCCTTTTTCTTTGTCTTATGAGCAGAAATATAACAAAATAGCAAAGCATTCATCTGCTTAACAAAAATATTGTATTGAACTTCTATCTCTGATACTTTCGAACCCGATTTTTCTTTGGAGTAACTTTCGTGCTCTTCCTTTCCTTCCCATTTCTTCTCATTAATTTGTTTCTTAAATCAAACGCTTCACTTCTAGTTCAAGACAACAATTCGACCTAATTAAACTAGAGGAACTATTCAAGATGAGACGTGTTAGGTGTTGTCCTGATTTTATTACCATATTTGGTTTTCATATCTCTCGAAAGAAATGACAACATATTTACCATAATTAATTTTCCTATCTCATGAAGGAAAGGATAACATATTTATCATAATTACATTTTTCTTTTCCTAAAAGGAAAATATAATTCCTCCATATTTGGCTAGTCCCTTTTTTTTGTAGGAAAATGTTCAGAGTTCTATAAGTTGAAGATCTGTCCTTCTCATTCAATAACATCCACAATGTAGCCATATAGGTTTGAGAGTCGTGTTTAGGGGGGAACTTTACAGGACAAATGTTAGTGTGTTACTTGTGTTTGTCTCTTCGTGAGATTCTCTCGATATTTTGTACTCTCTTTTACATAGTAGATTGTTCATCTCCGCCGTGGATGTAAGTCAATTGACCAAACCACGTTAAATATTGGTCTCTTTTGATATATTTATCGTCGTTCAAGGTTTGTTTTGCTAGCTTCCGCATAACACCTGATTTTTCGATTCTAACAAGACGGACAGATTTTTCTAAAGTTTCCCAAAGTACAATGAATAATAATCTGCAAATAATTCTTAAAAGACACACCATTCTAAAGCGCAAGAGGTTCGGCTCACAGTTGCCGCCTAGTGTATAAAATCCTAATTTGCCAGAAATCAAGCACCTAACATATTAGGTAATTGGAGTTGGATCTGGAATGCACCGGGTTGAAAAACAAAGGAAAAAAAGAAAGAAGCAAAGATGAACATTCTTCTTGATCAACTAATATATGAATTCCACATATGGAACAAGAAGCTAGTCCTGCCACTAGAGATTAACAGACCACGTTGTGATTACGTACAGATAACAGATGAAGTGTCCACATAAAGATCTGTTAAGCTGATCCCAAAAGGATTAGTTCCTAAACTGCTAAACATACTACTACAATTATTCGAGCACATCCCAGTGAGAGATGAAACATGCACTGGGAGAAAGCCTAAGGTAATCTAAATGCTAAACTTAGCAACTAATAGGTGCACCTGGTTGATGTTGCGGGGTGTGTGCTGGCCCTGGTTGGTTGATCTCGCCATTATCCATCATCAAACTTGTTCTATTCTTTTCTTTCTCTTGTTCCAGCGACCTGTACTCTCCAAAGTTCGCGTAGGAATCATTAGCTTTCCCAACTAATCCAGGTTCCTGGATATTGTCAGTTTCGTCTCCTGCAACACTTCTTTCTGGTGTGACCTTATCTGGAATATCTCGGTTCACGTCACCTGCACTACTATCTTCATCAATTTGAATCTCTAGCTTTTCTCCAGATCCATGTTTCTCCTCGACTTCTAGTTCAGCTTCAGCAGCATTTGCTTTTCCAAAGACTGCATCTGCTACCACTCCCTCAAAATTATCCTTGTCCGTGGAATTGTTATGTAGCTCGGCATCAATGGCAATGGTTTCCTCTGAGCCATTTCCTGCCATTTTATCTCCATTGTCAACCTCAGTGTCATTGCTGGCCTCAATTTTCTTCTCTGAAGCATCTCTATCAGGCATTTCCTCTTCTTTTTTGTTCTCTGTGTCTTCTTTCTTAGCCCCTATCTCGTCCTTCTCCTCTTCCTCCATATCAGCTTCTACTACATTTTCCTCTTCTTCTCTGGAAAATTCCATCTCTTTCTTGTCCAAGTTTTCCTTCTCTACATTTGATACTTCCATTTCCTCATCTTTTTTGGTAGCTGATGTTGTTCGACGTCTTTTCTTTGTCGGCTCAACCACTGCCGTAGGAGGCATTGCCTTAACCTTCTCACTGATCCGCGCTGATCTCCTTCGATTCTCAATGGTACTCCAATCAAATTCTGATACACCAGGATTTCCATCGTGCGTTTTCAGGTACTGCACCAACTGTTTGCGGTTCCTGATCTCCTCTCCAGTTGGAGCAACAAATACAACCTCATTCTTCTTTACTTTACCCCCTCTCTTCGGCATGACCTACAAAGTAACATAAAAAGAAATAATGTAAGTTATCCAACTACGCTTGCTTAATTCCCTTGTCCAAGGTACCTCCTTTCTCCCAAAGGAGCCCCA